GCAATGATGCACCGATACAAGAGGAGGTTGGTGATATAGTAGGTTACTTTCTTTCAAATTAATTTCTTTAAACGACAAAGAAATTTGTGATTTCTGATGTTTACATATGAGTTCTCAATCACGCCGATCCAATGTTTTCTAGATCAATTAATGTTTTTTGATGTTTGATTTGTTGAATGTACGTTGTGTTCTCGATCTGATTAATTATGGATCTGCAATGAGATCATATACTCCATCGGAGGAACGAAATTTGCAACAATTTTCATTTTGATGACTAACATATTAATGTTTACGAGTAAATGAGAAAGCTTTTCAAGTGTTGACGATACTCTTAGGGATCGTTTATCCAAATGCTTACCCCGGTAAGCGCTTATCAATAGGAGTCAACACTATAATTTATTTAGATGCGTAAGATTTTAGTACATCAAAACATATCGAATGCAACAATTTACTAGGTAAGCGTCTACCTGGGTAAGAGTCGTCATCCTCACTTACCGTGTAAGACTCTCCATCCTTCTTATCGTTCTTACTCGGTAAGATTATTGGTCGTTCTTATGTTCATCCGATAAGGAAATTTATGCGTTAAGCACTTACCAAGTAAGTGTTTAGTAAACAGCCCTTAGTTATTTTATCTGCTTGTCTAAAAAGCACCACAGTTTGGTCACTTTCTACATTTATTTGATGTATTGAACTTAAAACTTTGTACGGAAGTTTAGAATGAGAAGGTATCCATTTTATTTAATATCTTACTTTCCAACTTCTTTGTAACCACAACTATGATTAATGACACATTCTAATCTTCATCAATATACCTAGGGGCCGTTTACTAAATACTTACTCAGGTAAGCGCTTACAAAGTTACGTTACCTCACCGGATGAATATGGTAAGGACCAAGAATTTTACTCTGAAAGAGCGAGACAAAGACCAAGAGTCTTACCTGGTAAGTGAGGGCGACGACTCTTACCACGGTAAGCACATATCGGGTAAATTGTTGCATGCGATGTCGTTTTGGTGGACTAAAATATTACCCATTAAGTAAATAATAGTGTTAAATTTTATTGATAAGCACTTACCGGATGAGTATTTGATAAATGGCCCCTTAGTTGATACTTTTTCAACTTCTCTTGTAACCACAAGTGAATTATTGATGGCTCTTAATCTTCATTATTATTCTTGATGAGGTTTATCCAACTTCTTTGTAACTATAACTAAAAATTAATGACTTTAAAACATTGTATTCCATGTTCTCAATAGAAATAATAATTTATTTACTTCCTTACTATCACTGGCATCTTTTTTCTTGGAACTGAAACATCATTTTAGATTAATGGAGTTCACTCATCTCAAAAATCTCAACGATGATAATAATAATTTCATCATAAGGATCAGGATTTGTAGGATGTGGGAATCCTTGAATAACAAAAAAAGAGAACAATTAATTAGTCTTGATATGATTTTGATCATCGATGAAGAGGTAAATGAAAGTGATCTTGAAAAAAAAACTGTTCTACATATTTACACTTTCACATAAAATTGAGTTTTTATTAACGGTAGGAAAATCTGATTCATGCAAGCATCTGGAGCAATATTGTCCCAAAATTTAAGAGTCTATTGCATGAGGGTGTTCTATATGAAATTAAAAAATTTAAAGTTGTTTCCAAGTGTTGGAAATTTCAGGCCTCTCACAAATGATATCAAGATCATCTTCCAGAAATTCACTTCCATTAAAAATTAAGAAGATACCGTCGGCATCCCGAAAAATGGCTTCCAATTAATTTCAGCCGGTTTAGTACACTCGCATGTCAACGACGACACAACTTTATCAGGTATTTTAAACCCTTTGCATATCCAATTTTATTATTAAATTTATGTTTATAGATTTAAACTTCATTGATGTAAGTTTTTAATATATTACAGACGTTATTGGATGTAACAACATTGAAACTGTTGGAGTGGGTTGGGAAAAAAGAGATGTAGAGATTACCACTGGTTAGTAAGTATTTAAATACTTAGTATAATCAATAATTGGTCATAGTTATTGTTCACTACTTGTATGATATATGTTTGTGAATAAATAATAGCAAAGACATTTTATTCTCTGTACTATTTAATATGGTTATTTTCAGCTCGATCACAACAAGAGTTGCTTTGTGGGGTAAACTGAGTGAAGATTTTAATGTCACCATTGTGAAAACGAAAGCTGCTACAGGACTTGTCATTCTCATAGTCACATGTACAAGGGAGAAAACTTTCCAAGGTGTGCTTCATTACTTATAAAATTAATGCATTCATGTATGAAACATTACATCTCACATTAATAAGTTTACTTATATTTTCTAACAATGTTTATGTTCTAACAATGTTCGCTTATATTTTCACAATGGCCAGTGTTGTCTTTTTTGCTACGTCAAAAGCTAGCAAAATATTCATAAATTTAAAAATAAACCACATTTCTTCTTTAATTGAAATATTTATAACTGTTGTAAAAGGAGTCCACTTTATGAAAATGTGGATGAGAAAAAGCGTTGCGATGAAGATATGCTTGTAGAAAGGATGATGATTAATGACCTACTATGTGCTACTTAGGATAAAGACATGAAGGTACTATCCTAACTTTTCCAACATTCCATAATTTTTTCTCATACATTTGTAAAATGTATTGATAACTGCATCTTTTTCTTTAATAATGTGTACACTTCAGGTTCCATTCATAAGTGTTAGAGGGACAATCACTAGCATAGTTTCCTCATTGGGATGGTTTTATAACGGGTGCAAAGCTTGCTACAGACAACTAACCACAAGGCAGTATCTAAATTTCTTCTTGTGTGTAAGTTGATTTCTTTATCTTTTTATGTCATTTTATTAATGTTAGTTCACCGTATAAAAGATTTCGTAGCCATTAATTCTACCTATGTATTTTTTTAGGTATAAAATACACATAAGAATCAAAGACTAAACTGGATAAACAACTTGTGTCTTGTTCAATATGGTTGTCGAAAGAGTGCTTGACACTTCAGCACACAAAATTGCTTAACAAACAACCAATAGGCAGTGATGTTCCAACAGAGGTTTAAACCCTCGTCGAAAAAGAATATGTCTTTAAACTAAAATTAAATGAGTATAATATTATACATGGAAGCGAAGATTTTACATTGGCTAGCCTATGGATTTCTGATGAGCAAGTATAAAGAGATTGTGAAACTGAAAATGCTGGAAAGGTTAGTTATAAATTCTATTCATGTAATAACTTCTTCAAATATGTCATCACTTTATGCAATGTGGTTCTTTTTGGCTTTATTAGGTAAAAACATTTTTTTCCAAACTTGAAATCACTTCAAGGTGGAGAAGCCCATTGCAAAGGTTGTTATGGATTTAAATGACAACTGAATTTCAAATATTGTAAATTACTCGGCCACGATATTACTCGGCTACGATATTTCTAACACACACATACAATTGGATTTAAGTGATCTGCAATAATGGTTCTACACGCACCAGATATTGTATACACACACTCGGCCACGATATTTCTAACACACACATACATAGATGGAGATGATCAATGAGTGTGTAGCAGGAAGAGGATGTGTTATAGATGTTCACACACACACACACACATATAGAGGTAGAAAACGATGGTTTGCCGTTGGGGGGTCGACGGAGGGGTAGGAAGGGAGTTCTCTCATAACTGGGTCGATATGAGTCGCAGCACCGTTCGTATCTCTTTCTCCAGTTTCATTCTCGATTAATTCACAAGATTGAATTATGGTGTATAAAGGGGAAAGAGGCAATAGAAATGGTCTCGGTGCAAAGGAAGTGGGCCAAAAATGGTACGTGTATGCAAGGGAGAAAGGGGCAATAAAATGTTGTTCGACTAATTAAAAAGAACCCAGATAATGGAAGGAGGCTACAGTTGTAGAAGGTTCGGAGAAAGGGATGAGCAAATGACGGATCCGACGGACCTATGGTTGTCGATGAGGTTCATGGTTGGAGAAGAAAAGGGATAGGATGGGTATACTATACATCACCGTTCTTATTTAACCAATAAGATTTCGGATCATCAAAATAGTATAGTAAGATTTAGGGGTGCTCAAAAATCCGACCAACCCGATCAACCTAACGCGAAATAACTCAACCCGATGTCTAATCGAGTTGTAAAATTATCAAACCGTAGGTATTAAGTTGATATTGGGTTACTATTATTTGAACTCAACCCGATGTCTAATCGAGTTGTAAAATTATCAAACCTTAGGTATTAGGTTGATATTAGGTTACTATTATTTGAACTCAACCCAACCCGATGAACCCGATATCTTTTTATTTCTTGGATTTAATATGATTGTTGAATTTCTATTAATATATACATTAGACAATTACACTATCATGTACGCTTTTCAAATACACATATTTTCAATCTATTCATATCTCTATATAATTCATTCTGTAACTGTGAACATATATATGTAAATTGAGAAAATTAACTGAATGTGATATACGTAAGAAATATGAATAAGTTGTATATTAAATGGTTGATGATGAAAAAAAAAATTATGAGTAGAGAATAACATATTCAAGGTTAAAGGAATATTTTAACATACCAAGGTATCAACCTGACCAACCTGTATGGGTTGGGTTGGGTTGCACTTTGATTTGGTTTGGTTTGGATTGGGTTAAGATTTTTCTAAACCGTAAGCATTGGGTTGGATTGTTCAAATGTTCTCAACCCGATCAACCCAACCCATGAACACCCCTAGTAAGATTGTTGCTAGATCGGGGCATTCGCCTAGAACCCACAAACCAAAATCTGGACCGGCCGGCAATCTGATCAAACTTTTTCTGCCCAACGGGTCTCAAGCGGTCTTTTCTTGACACTGGATCGGTTAAAAAAGAATCGGATAAACCCCGATCCGGACCAGTCTTTTTATTTTTCTATATAAAGTTGGTTGCAAATTGAAAAACATAAAAAATATTAGCACTACAAACATGATCCGTATTCGAGTCGGAAACACATATAAGAACCAAAAGGATCATTGGGTGATTCAAACCTTACCTATGAGAAATGTGTATACCTGTCTGTCATATATAAATATTATATACTTCAAAAAAAACACAACGAAGCAGAAGCAACAAAATGATACCATATTTAAACCGATACCAGCCAAGCGCATTTGCAAGACTCGATTCCTTTCTTTTATTCACCTGAAGATCGATAAGCGACACGTAAAAAGCAATACTACCGATTTCTCTATCAATAAACTCAACGTGGAAGAAAAAGATCCGACAACAGAAACGATGCCTAATGCTCGAGTAAATAAGTTGTATATATGTTTATTAGAAGGTCTTCTGCTTGCTGTAACGTCGTAATCCATACACATCAACAATGCCAGGAGGGAAGACCGGATCAGTAGCCCCTCTGACCGCAACCTTTGCTACCGCTTTAACATCCACCGGAGGAGTCAACAGCGGACCAACAATCGGGACCTGATTCAACGGTTTTGCATATTGCATAACCTGCATTGTTCAAAAACACCAATTACTTTCAACAGTTTGACGACTAGTTATTAAGGTAATCTCCATTATGTTTTGACGCAATAACCAACATATATAGCTTAAGGTGGGACTGGAAATGGCTAAAGGCTTGATAAATTACGCAAGCAACGTACCATCTCTAGTGGAGAACCGATTACGCCTAGAGGCAACTTCATGCTGCCGACTCGACGAGTTCCGTATATGAACCCAGGCCTCAAAATCACATCTAAAAAAAAGAAAAGTTACAGCTTATCGTAAATTCAGAGATCTCAGCCCGTAAAACACACAAACGCAAATATCAGTTGGAAGATGGGGATCGATCACTCTGCTATCTCAATCTTACTCAAATCAATAACTATAAGCAGAATCAGGTGCATATAGGAAAAGGCGATAGAATACTCACGTCCATATGGAAACCTTGTTAACAACTCTGTCTCAGTAGCTCTCTGCATCAAAGAGATGTGTAGGTGATTAAATGAAATTGAAGGGATAATGTATTTCGCTACACATTTTTAATAATAGAAACTCAGAATTATTTTTAAGAACTCCAAATTCAAGGTACTGCAAGGAGATCCAATAATCAAACATCAAGGATGCGGTCGGTAAGCCGACATGACTGGAAGGGCGAAGATGGGTGATAACTATTTGTTGTTCTAATACTCCTATTTTTATGCCTTTTCTGTACCCATTTTGCCTCTATCTTATATTTTTGGTCTAAAATGTTCCTAAGAGGTGATGAATGGTCAAAAATTTGATTTTATTCTGAAAAACCGTCGCTACTGGACAGTGCCCACCGCCTGCCCACTTGCTGCCTGCTGTAATAATTTCTTTAAGGCAGATTTGGATAAGATCAAATACCCTTTTTTCTGGGTATTTAAAAGATTTAAATCTGCAGTCCATTCGGGAGATTTCACAAAATCTAAAGAGATGAGCTTTTGTGTTAAAAAAAGATGACTTAAAAGTACTTTTTCCCTTAAATCAAGGGAATGTCATCTCTACCTTTTGCATCCTTTCAAAAAGGTGACAAGTCTAGAAGATCTTCCAAAAAAAGTGAAATGAAGTCTTTGCCCTAAAGTAAGAAGGATGTTTTCTTCCTTTGGATAAAAAGGATGTCCATCTCTCCCTTTCTCATATAAATTGAAGCATTTACTCTCATTTTGAAGACACATCTTTTAGAGAAATTTACTCTCAGTTAACAATCTTTGGAATAACTGAAGATCTGGAGCAGTAGTTCAAGTTTAATTTTCTGTATTTACTTCTTGTCTTGTATTTAATTTCAGCTACGTTTCTGTCCACTATATGCCCACTGAGGGCAACAGTTTTAGTAAATTTTCATTCAAGTATTCCTTATGCATTTCTCTTCTTCTTCTATCTTCTGTAATTTTATTATGAGCTAATCACCCCTTCGGGTGTGGGTGTGAGTCAAACTTAAGACTATTAGGCACACTTGGGTGTTACCATTGTTATTAATTCTTAAGCTTGGTCACTTAAAGTCGGGACTTAAATTCAACGTGGATAAGTCGATCACTTTAAAGTGTTAATATTAGATTTTTGATCCAGAGATGGACGGACTCGAAATTCGGCTTAAGTGATGCACAAAGATTTGAGAGTCTCTGATAATCACGTAGAGATACGGATTTTGCATGTTTTTAGCCAACGTTCAAATATTAGTCGAGATTTACACTACAAAGAGATTTGAGTATAAATCTTCAAGCTAGTGGAACTAGATATCTTTTTATCACTTAGCTACTTCAGCAAGCTTAAAATTAATGACAGTGGGAACTTTGTGGGCACTCCGTGGGCACAGTATACGAAAATTCACTTTCAAGATATTGGAGTTTTTATAGAAGTCTCATGAGTTTCTAACCATCATGTTCCTACAGTTGTCTTAAGGAAAACTTACACCCATACCAATCTCTTAATTTAAAAAGGTTTATTTCGTATTTCAAGCATTTCTTTCAACAAAATCCAACTTTTATTCACAAACCGAAACATGCTCAAGAAGTTCATGAAACTCTCTGATTCTTAGTAGTCCAATCCCTGTGAAAACGATCTTGGTACTATACCACTTTATTACTTGAAACGATCATATCGTCGGCGTGCACTTGCACCGCCACTATGGGGACTTTGTGCCCACTATGTGAACACTTAATTCAAAGCTATCAGTGGGGTAGGCGGGTGAAAGAATAATGGAAGGTTTTAGGGTTTTAATTTGATATGGGTTTATATCCATGCATCTATAGATGTAAAATCGTTTACAAACCCAATAAGTCGTACAAACTTACGAACCAGTTTTCATGTGTTATTTCACACATAAAACAACATGTGTGAAAATGCAAAAGTTTATACAGTGTTGTTTCATATGTGAAATGTTCAAGATTGTTGTGTGTGGAAAAAAACAGTCCTGAGCTTTTCACATATACAACAGCACTGTGTATACACTGCATTTTCACACGTGTTGTTTCATATTTGAAACACATGAAAACTGGTTTGTAAGTCTTAACGAATTGTTGGGTTTATAAAAGAAGGGAACTGTGCATCTATATATGTATATATACATATGCATGTATCATTAGTGGTCACCGAGCAAAAAGAAATCAACGACGACTCCAAGCAATTACACAAATAAGGAAATCAGATAAAATAAGAAAATTTTAACTTGCAAATGGTCCATCATAAGTACCTTTCCGTCATAATATCCTTGTAGCAAGTAATTAACCACACCAAAGTCTGAAGCAGATATGTAGACGAATCTCTTAATCCCTATAGACAAGAATCAAGAACAAATTACAACTGTGAAGACCGTTTACGCATTAGAACCCCCACAGAAGACCACAAACACCAAGAAGATATATCTAAACATTGATGTTTAAATAAACTACTCAAATAACGGATCTGATCTCAAATTAAAAGAAACAAACGAGAAAGCTACAGGTGAGAGTGTGCAAACAAGCAATAGATACAGTAAGCAGAAAATGTTCAAACCTTTTTCGGCAGCAGCTCTAACGGCATTGATGTTTGCAGTTCCATTGACCTTGTACATGTGGGAATTGGAACCAAAACCACCAACACAAGAGATCTGGAAGATTATCGCACAGATTAAAACTAGTTTAATGATCGAAAACAGAAAGAAACCAAGTGATAGTTATCAACTACGAAAGATGGCACATAACAGCAAAGGGAAAAAGAAAGGAAAACCAAACAAAGATACATGTAAGCTTTTCATATTTTCTTCTTTTTTGAGCCGACAAAAAAGAGCTTTTTATCAGGGAAATTTAGTAGGAAGACGACAATACATACAACAGAAGTGACTCCACCGAGTGCCTCCTTCCATGAATCACCTGACAGCAAGTCTCCTATCATAACATGAAGCAAAAGATTAGTGGATCTTAAGACATCCAATACATCTATACATAGGTAAGTAAAAGGAAATGCTAAAAAGCAGTGAAACTCTTATAACCACCTTTCTCAAGCATTAGGATTTGTAAACTGAAAGAGGGTCATCAACCAACACAAATTTGATTAAGAGATAACCAAATAAGAGCATGGTCGGGGTAAGAGGTTCTGTCTGGGTAAGCACTGACAGAAAATGATTGTTTATCAAGTGTGTGGTAAGTGACTGAAGCACTCACCGAGTCAGAAAGCAACCCCTTCCTTACCGGGTCAGCATTTCAGTCAACATAGTTGTGGTTCAGAGTGTGTTGGTAAACAATGTCACTTCTTACCAGATAAGCACCTCTTACCCGGTAAGAGGCTGTGAGCAGGTAGTAAACAACCCCCAACTTAAAAAAAATGTTCATGAGCCAAAAAGGGATGAAGAGAAGAAGCAAGCATATTCAGGAAGCAGGATTGACCAAATAAATTCACCATCCTATCATTGCAATAATCTCTATACTTGGAAATCCATCAAATTATATCAACATAAACACTGCCATTCAAAGATAAAAAAATCAGCAATTACTGGCACCTACTATTGAGTTTAAAAGTTACACTTGGATGAACATTTTTAGTCATTTTCCCATGAACATTTCTAACACCATCTCAACAGTAATAATGCTTTTGAGCACGCATTCAGCAGAAACTATTTGAGTTTTTTCCATATGATTTTCAGCAAAAGTTTTGCTCATGAGCAGAACCACTGGTTTTGGAGCAATCCCATGGTTGTATGATATGTATATTTACATATGCCATACATGCCCATAAAAATAAATACTGGACCATGCACAGCAAACAAAAAATAATACCTTGATGCCAACTTACTTTGCTAGCCCATGGTTCTTGGATAGATGACTTGCCAGATCTGCATTAGAAAGTTGAGCAACATACATGGACAACTTAGCAGCATATCAAAGTGATGCCGAGAATATCCAAGAGTTCATGGAATCATTCACAGATGAATTGGAGAAAGAGAAACAGGTTGGAAAGAAGTCCAACTTGAAACAGCCATAACTTCTGATAAATTGGGAGTTTGGGGCCAGTAAGATATTCACAGAAAGCTCACAATGAGCTGGACATGATGAAAAACTGGCCATGGCGGTTTGGCCCAATTTTGGCCCGAAAATCCCTCATCTGATCCCCAAATCTGACTTCAAAGATTTTTCTGTGATTTTAGGCTTTTATTTATTTCAGTTATAATAAGCAGATTGCGTGAAATCAACATTTTCTGATTTTCACGCCCCTATTTAGGCAAGAATCAGTTATGTTTATTTGTTGGTTTTTGAATTTTCTAATTTGTAGCCACCTGCATGAACTGGATCCGCCCTAAAAGGCCAAATTTTATAATTTTGAAGGTATTGCATAATATTATCTTTTCTAACAGCGTGTGTAAATCCTTTGTGTCTGTTCTGTCACAAATTATCACATGGAAGATATAAATGAGCAGGAGTAAAGCGATCGTGCATTATCGAGATTTACACAAGTAGCCATTGTTCGCCACCAACATCTCCATAGGATAATAACCTAAAAAAAACTAACTTGATCGAAAAGCTGGTTCTGTTTAGTCGTTCTCGTGAAAAGCAAATGCTAGTTTTTGGTCAGATTCAACTATTTCCACTCCCAAATTCATATAAGCAAATAAACAATCAAAGGTCTCATTTGGTTTGCAGGAATGGATTGAAGGGATTTGGATTTCGAATCCATTCCAATCCCAAGTTTGGTTTGTTGGATTGTCCAGATTTGAAATCCAACAGACGTAGGATTTGAAATCCTTAGAGGGTGATCGGGATTTCACGAGATTTTGTAGGATTGTATGCAATAAGGTTTTAAAAAATGTAAAAGCATTTGTTTTGTAGTAATCGATTAATAAAAATATAATGTAATTATTATTATAATTCTCTTTATAAAATATTTTATAAATAATGGAATCCAATTCCATTCCAAATCCTACAAACCAAACACACCAATAATTTCAAATTCATTCCAATCTAAATCCCTCCAAACCCAAATCCCTCAAAAACAATCCTGCAAACCAAGCAGACGATAATAGTTGAATTACGACTAACAAGGCCATTATTTCTACATAAAGCAAATCAAGTCCTTATTACTACTGCACATGCTACTTTTACCCACCCCCCCCCCCCCCAAAAATCCTCTAGAGTTTAGCAATTTCACTGATACCAGTTTCTTCACTGGCCTGAAGTTGCACATCAATGGTAGTAACTCTGAAATTATACTGAAAACAAATTTGTTTTCATAAACTATATACGATTTGGGCTCCTAAACGGTTTCAACAGAAAAAATAAGATCACTTTAAAGTAGAAGTTTTATAGTTCATCAATGATCGATCCACAGAACTTACAACATATACATTGTAGGGTTGGGTTCTGGTGAGAAGCGTAAGAAGGGATCTCCACCCTTGGGTACACGTTAGGATGACATGTACCAAGATGAGATGCACCAAGATGCACCTGATCAATCTCCGTATCAAAAGCGATTCATGGGTGGGTTTGAGATTAAAGGTGATCAAGGGTCAGATCCTTTCTTACGCTTCTCACTTTATCTCTGTTTCTCACATGATCCTTCGCCATACATTGTATTGGATAAAGGCACAAGAAGCACATATTGGGTCATACTCTCAATTCCATAAAATGCATGTAACATGATGTTAAAATAAACAATTAAACATACCTGCTAAGGCTCGCAACCGACAGGCCACGTTCCAACGCTTCTTTGCATATGTGTGAGCCAACAAATCCATTTCCACCCAGCACAAGTAACTGATTCCGAAAAAGAATATCAGAAATAAACTATTATACACACATATACACACTGACATACACAAGTATTACAAGATCAAGATACCTCATTAATGAAATATTCCCTCCATCCCAAAATAAATGCAACAATCTTCATTATGGATTGTCCAGAAATGCAACATTTCCTTTGTTGGCAAAGTTCCATTCCATTATTACTTATTTTTCCCTTGAGTGATTATTAAAGAATACTCGTGGCAATGATTTGGTTCACAAGACTCCTCTAATCATCTTTATTGAGGAGTAAACTAATGGTCAAAAGTTGCATTACTCTTTATCTAGGGTATTACGAGTTATCATCATAAATAACCACACCCACCTTACTAAATTTGCTCAGAAAATAGCCAAGAAACCGCAAGTCAACGCATGCAAGGTACTTTTCATTGCGGTTTTGCAAGCTGATGGCCTATCGGTTTCGTAGCCTGCGACTTTGGCTTGCTACGCAAGGGACTACGATACCACAACTTGCGGTTTTTTAATGCGTTGAGCCCACTTTTCACTGGAAGTGTCGGATTTCTAAACCGCAAGGAAAAGTGCCTTGCAGCGCAGTTTCTTGGCTATTTTGTGGGGGAAAATTGAGAGGTGGCTATAAAGCTAAATGTTTTTTTCTTGAGGTGGCCATTTGAGATGATAACCCTAAATGATCTTGACATCCCTTTTGAGTTAAAAAAAATCCTTTGTCACTGTATAAACATAACTCACAAAATAAGCCAATTCAACACAAATACAAAAAATAAACAGAAAAATAAAACCTGAAAGTACCTTTTCTGCCGGAGGAGGTGGAGCATTTACTGGTTCTGCTTCCTCTACTTTAAGTGGTTCATCAATCTTATTAGATTCTGTTGACAAATATCTTCCTCTTCGAATTGAACCCAATGTATTGCTTAGGTTTTACATACAAATCAAGAAATTCAATTAACTGCGAGTAAACTAATTGATAAAAGACTGAACGAAGACTCAGAAAACTCCATTTCCGTGATAATCGAAGTTCAATTTAAGAACGCTAAAGAGAATAATGAACATAAGTTCACATCAAATAAGATTTTTAATAAAAGAAAGTTTGATCTCCATAGTTTACATTCACCCAATAATTTACGCCCTCGGTTCAAATCACAATTTTTCTTCGTAAATTACACGAAAATAAAAGGAAAAAAGAAAACCCATTCGATTCTACAAGGTATGGGGTTTCTTTTACACTAATATGATCCAACACCCATCTCCTTAACTTCTGAATTCTGATTCACGCTGTAAGTTACTTCCCCGATTCAAAAAATTAGTGTTTCTCTTAAACTACAAAAACGAAAACCCCATTTGATTTGATTTGGTATAGGGTTCATTTTGCCTCGATTTTAGACGAATGATCGCGAAACAACGGACAAATGAGATCAAATACTTACAAAAATCTGGAAGGGCATAATCTGGAATGGATTAAACGAGACATGATCGTATGATTGCTTCCTTCGTTGCTCGAATCAGAGAATGGGAAGGAACTGGAGTCTCTTTGTTCGAAGGGGAAAAGTGAAGGAAGAAGAAAGAGTGGCAGATGGCAAATAGAAGATGCTGACACGTATACTGTACACGTGGAATGATTTCAGCCTGTAGTAAATACCCACCCACCCGTGAATTGTAAATTATACATTTGGTCCTTAAACTATACTCAGTTTGCATATTTTCGTTATAGATTTATTTTCTTTGCAATAACTGTCCAAAATCCAATTATTTATGTTCTCAAAAAAGAAAATCATGATAATGAGTTGATTTAAAGTTAAACATAGTTTTTTTATTTACTTATTTTATATTTATTTGAGTAAACTAGAAATTTTGTCCCTATGGTTTATTGAAAATAGCATTTTTCTTCCCTATAGGGAATAAAAAGTTGATTTTCTCTATTATAAAAAAACTATTAGAGATGCTCTTAGATAGGGGTGCTCATAGGTTGGGTTGAAGACATTTGAACAACTCAACCCAATGTTTGTGGTTTGAAAAATATTTAACCCAACCCAACCCAAACCAAAGTGCAACCCAACCCAATCTAACTTGTACAGGTTGGTCGGGTTGATACTTTGGTACATTAAAATATTTTTCTAACCTTGAATATGTTATTTCTCTACTCATAATTTCTTTTTCATCATCAATCATTTGATACAACTTATCTATATTTCTTACATATATCACATTCAGTTAATTTTCTCAATTTACATATATATATATATATATATATATGTTCACAGTTACTGAACATATATACGAATAAGTTATATAGAGATGTGAATAGATTAAAAATATGTATATATGAAAAGCATACATGATAGTGTAATTGTCTAATGTATATATTAATAGAAATTCAACAATCATATTAAATCCAAGAAATAAAACGATATCAGATTCATCAGGTTGGATTGGGTTCAAACAATAGTAACTCAATATCAACCTAATGCCTACGGTTTGACAATTTTACAACTCAATTAGACATTGGGTTAGATTGATCAGGTTGGTCTGGTTTTTGAACACCCCTACTCATAGATGTTGGTTTTCTTATGACTTGATTTTTTGTCTTATGGGCGTATCATTTTTGGTTCTATTGCTTACATATTTATTTATTTATTTATTTATCAAATAGAAAATGATGGAAATATAAAAAGACTAAATATCCCTTACCTAATGAGATTTTTTAACTATCGTTAGAGAATTGATTAGATCCAAACGTTTTTTTTTCAAATTACAATGAATATATTGTAATTTTGAAATTATAATGGAATAAATCTATTGATATTTTATTGTTTCTACCCTCATAGATCTTGGAATAAATCCTTGGTAAGAGTCTTATCCGATAAGTGAGGGCGATGACTCTTACGATGGTACGCACTTACCAGGTAAATTGTTGCATACAATATCGTTTTTGTGAACAAAAATCTTACCGGATAAGTAAATGATAATGTTAAATTTTACCAATAAACGTTTATCGGTTAAATATTTGGTAAACGGAAGCTAATTCTATCCAAAATTACCAAGGATCTCTGTCTCCATGGTCAAATATCATTCATATGTCCTTCAAGTAATTTATATCAGAAATCGAAGCAATTCAATTATATACAAATTAAAAAAAAAAAAAAGGAAAAAAGGGTTAATCGGATTCCAATGAAATAACGGTTTCAAAGGCACCAACCAATGCGCTGACTTTATTCTTTCTTTTTTGACGAAGCTTGCTTACAGTCTCCTCTATCACTTCATTATATGCCATATTACTTGTCTTCTTTGCATTTGCATGCTCCACCGCTTGCTGCTTTCTCACCGCCATCGCCACCACACTCGCCGCCGTTACTCCGCCTTTCGCCACCTTTCCACCACCATCTTCTTCCTTTTTGTTCTTCTTTTCATCCTCCTCTTTCACCTTTTTACTGCTACTGTCTTCTTTCTTTTTCAATTCTCGGTTTTCTTTCGCCATTTTAGCATCGGCTGCAAGGTTAGCGAAAAATGCGATCTTTGGGTTCCGTTTAGGATCAAGTTTCGGGTTTGATTCTTGCTCCGGCTTATGCTCCACTTCGGGTTTCTGCTCTACCTTGTGGTTGGCTTCGGGTTTCGGCTGTGATTCGGGTTCTTGTTGTGGCTCCGCTGCTTTGTGTTCCTCTTTGGATTGTGGCTCTAATGCAGGTACCTGTTGCGCCTCTTGCTCGGGTTGTGGCTCTACTTTTGGTTCCGATTGCGGCTCCCGCTTATGCTCCGCTTTCGACTCTACTTCTGGGTCCAATTGCGACTCCTGCTTGTGCTCCATTTCGGGTTTCGACTCCACTTCTGGCTCCGAAGGTGACTTATCCTCCGCTTCGGATTTCTCCACTTCCCGTTCCAATTCTGGCTCCGGTTTACGCTCAACTTCTGGTTCTGGTTCCAGTTTTGGTTCCGGTTCCGGTTCTACTTCTTGTTCTGGTTCCGGTTCTGGTTTTGATTCTGGTTCCAGTTTTGGTTCCGGATCTACTTCTTGTTCTGGTTCTGCTTCTGGTTTTGGTTTTGATTCTACTTCTTGTTCTGGTTCTGGTTTTGATTCTACTTCTTGTTCTGGTTCTGGTTTTGATTCTGGTTCCGGTTCCGGTTCCGGTTCCGGTTCCGGTTCTGGTTTTGATTCTGCATGTTTTGATTCTAGTTCTGGTTCCGATTCTGGTTCTGATTTTGCAGGTTTTGATTCTGGTTCCGGTTCTGGTTCTGATTTTGCAAGTTTTGATTGTGGTTCTGGTTCTGGTTCCGGTTGATGTCGGAGGTTCTCAGTTTCTTGTTCATCGATAGTTTCGTTAAATTGAGAACCCACTTCGGATTCATCGCGTGATGGAGTGATTTCTTGATCATCTTCTAAAGGTAATGGGAAAGGATCATGAGAATCTCTAATTTCTCTGTGTTCTTCAATCTCCTCTTCATCGTCTCCATTTTGCTTATCATCTTCTTCTGATTCCAAACCATCGGTATCAGTATCCGTAGCAGTAGCAACAGAAGCGGAATCAAGGGTCTTTTCGCAATCTTGTTCTTGAGTCACAGAATTTTGATCATCTTTTTGTTTCTGACGATCCGATTCGCTTGGTTTCTTCCCCGATTTCGACGGAGACTTTGTTGGTTGTTTAGTTGCCACCTTGTTAGCACTTCCAACGCTTGTGTTTTCCTTCTTCGCATTCGTAGGGCTTTTCGTATTCACCGGTTTAGGAATAAGAGGGGGAGATTTCGCAACTTCTTTCGGTTTCGGCAAATTGGATGTTTTAACGTTTTTTACTTTAGGAATCGGAGAAGGACTCCGTAAGTTTCTTTCTGTAGTAAGCGGAGAAGGACTCCGTTTGATAACCGGAGAAGGACTCCGTAGAGATGGCGACGGACTCCGTAGAGATGGAGAAGGACTCCGTAGAGATGGCGACGGACTCCGTAGAGATGGCGAAGGACTCCGTACAGACGGCGAAGGACTCCGTAGAGACGGCGACGGAGACTTGTCTACCGATTTTCGTGGAGAGTTGACTTTGTCGGCCGGGGTTGACTTACCCTTTTTGGTTTCGGCTGTGGTTGTGGTTGTGGTTTTCTTGGTTGTGGAGGGTGGTGGGTTCGCGGTTTTCTTTTGTGGGGCGGCCGTAGGTATACGTGAGGAAGACGTGGTCTTCTTATCTTTCGCGGGTCCTTTCGACGCCATTTGTGACGGAACACGAACTATTACCTGCATTCGCAACGGAATCAATCATTAGGAAAAAAAAAGAAGAGAACGAGAGATGGAGAGAGGTTTATGGAACCTTTGTTAGAAGGATGAAAATGGGTGTTTTTGTTTTTAAGGAGATGTCATGTTTTCAAATGTTAGAATTTTGGTTCCTCAAAGGTTGGAATGAAGAATATGAGGCAAAGAAGAAGAAACATTTGGTTTGTGATGTTGCAAAGAATATGGCATGCTTTGTGGGACACCCAAGATTCTCTTTAATTCACCACTCTCAGTCAAACATATATATATATATATATATATATATATAATTGGGGTGAGCAGCGGAACCGGGTATCCATTTGTGAAACCGAAACTGCCTTGGAACTGGCGGTTTCGGAACCGGAATCGATATAAGTGGTTCCAGATCCTAAAATAAGAAACCAATTGATAATGGTTCCGGTTTCGGTTCCGGTTCTCAATTTTTCGGAACCGTTACCCACCGGGTACCTGGAACCGGAACCGACGGGTACCCGGTATTTTTCAATTAAAAAATAATTAATTTTTTTTTAATACTAAATTTAAATTAGGTCAAGAACGTAGAATTCGAGAATCAGAATTTGAGATAAAATGATTCGTATTTTTTCAAATTGTATGTTTAATTGGATTTGTATCATGTAATCGTTAAATTTTGAACCTTTACAATTATAGTATGTAATCGTTAAACTTTCAACATTTACTGTTAGTCTATTATGGTTTGTAATTGTCAAACAATATTTGTAACCATTATTTTATATAATTTGTACTCTTGTTTATTTATTTAGTGTTTTGGCAATGTTTTATTTTTTATTTCTAAATAACAAAATTTTAATATTTTAGGAATCGGAACCGGTTCCCGACGGTTTCAAAAATTCAAGAACCGCTCTAACCGGTTTCGGTTCCAATATCTCAAGAACCGCCGGTTCCGGTTTCTGTCTAATGGTATGATCACCCCTACATATAATCACAAGGGTCTTGTGGTGTCTGATTGGTTTGAGTTTGACTCTAAAGGTAAAAAGTACTTGGAGGTCTCAGGTTCAAATCCAAGGAGGAATAAAAATCCCCCTGTAGCTAGGGCTGTAAACGAACTGAACGAACACGAACGGAGGCTTGTTCATGTTTGTTCGTTTAACTTAACCGAACAAACGAACGAACACAAACGGTAAACGAACGAAAATCTTTATATTCGTGTTCGTTCGTTTAGAAATCAAGTGTGTTCGTGTTCGTTTATATTCGTCCGTTAACTAGCTAAACGAACGTAAACAAACGGGCTAAAAGAACATAAAGGAACGAGTTACACGGACATATATAAATATTATTTGCATTCAAAATAAATAAATAAAATATTATATATTAAATTTAACATATAAACGAACATAAACGAATGGTAAATGAACGAACGTTCACGAACATAAATGAACGAATGAGACTTTTGTTCATGTTCGTTCGTTTAACTAAACGAACAAAAAAATTGTTCATGTTCGTTCATTTATTAAATAAACGAACGTAAACGAACTTCCCGCCGAACGGTTCGCTGAACGTTCGGTTCGTTTACAGCCCTACCTGTAGCCTCAGAGGTTCAAATACGATGACTCTGAATTATCTGTAAAGCAGGTGATCGTCTTAAGGATTAGTCGGCTCAGATAATAAATTGGATATCCAGATTAATAAAAAAAAAACCACATGCATATATTTTTTAAAATTTATAATTTTATAAATTAGGATTTATTTCCTTGCTTTGTTAGTTTTTGATGGTTTTGGTCGTTATGTCTAACTGTCGTCAACTTTTTTCGTGGAAGAATTTGAAATTGTAACGATTTAGATTTTGTTGGTATGTTTAATTTATAGGATTTAAAATGAAAAATGAATCCCGTTCTTTATAAATAGCTTTTTAGAATTAATTAAAAAATATTACAAAAATAATTATAAAACAAGTGTATTTTAACATAATTATTACAAACAAATCCTATGAGATCGTGTGAAGTACGAACTACAACTACTCCATAGGATTTCTAAAGGTTTCTTTCATACAACGACCATCAAACCAACGAACTCGATCATCGTGGTTCTCATTTTTGTAACCATGGTTTCGGTTATTGTTCTCCGAATTACACTTTCAAGAACCTCAAGCTCGAAAACCGGATCTTTCCAGCTTCTCAAAACCCGTTTCGTTTCCTGTTAAATCATGCGTTTGGCCTGAACCATTAGACCAGAAGCGAGAGCCAAAGCGCTTGGCTTGAACTCGAAAAACCCTCAACTTACATCATCTTCCGTGGATGCATTGCCATTCGTATCTCTGAATTCATCAGCTTCATCTAAACTTTCACACGCTAGCGGAACTTTGAGGGGTAGAACAAAAGTGAAGGTAGATCCACAATGTTCTTTGCTTGAAACCGTTACAGACCCGCCCATGAGCTCAACCTACACGGTATATTTGCGTGAAACCATCTCTTACGATCATTAATCAAGAAAATAACAATAAATGTCAATAATCCCGTGTTTAAGAAACATTACCACTTGTTTGCAGATGGCTAAACTTAATGCAGTTCCGCTGTCTTTCGTGTTTTTCTTGAATATCAACGGTAACGCAGTTTCTGTTGAATCATAATTGATATGATTATGAGAGAAAGACGAATAAATGGTCTGTGGAGAAGATTAAGAACGTAGAAAAGCACCTGGGATTCCAATTCCGGTATCTTGAACATCACAGCATATCCACAACGCAGTTTCATGTGATTGAGATTCGTTCTCCTCGTGATCGTGTAGATCTTCTGTGTCGATCTTTGGTTCTTGGTGATCTCTCCCGACACCGGTCTGCTAATACATAAAGATTTATTCCAACCTTCCCTTCATGGGTAAATTTGACAGCATTACTGCAAAAATGACATGAAATCTGTTAAAATTAACAGTGGCAAGAAACCAAGATCGTCGGCAACGATGCCCCGAATTGAAAATTGATTAAATCTGGTGCATTTTATCGATGATTCGCTTATTTTACCCCGCAACTGGATTTTATAGTAATTCGTTCATCATCGATCATACAAGATTTTCACAGTTATTTGGTAGATATGACTATTCTGGTGCCAAGAAAAAGCTCGAAACAAAAAATTTAGCACGGTTACAGCACCTAATCAAGTTGGTGAGGACTTGTTGGATCCGATGAACGTCACCGATAACCTAAAAATCAAGTTCCGATAGAATATATATGAGAGGATGCTGAATTGGTAGAACATCGTGTTTTTCCTAAAGCAAATGAAACGAACTCAGTAAATCCAACGCAGAGTAGGGTCTGGTTAGTGAAGAACCCGGGTTTGCTTAAATGGAAGGAAAAAAGTTTATTTTCGGTGATTGTTGCAAAGATCTCACCTCGATGGGGACATCATCGGCTACATTTCCTTCCAAAATCAGCATCTTTCTCAGCGATGCCGCAGCGGTTTGGAGTACATGCGTGATCATCTCTCTAGGCCTAAACTTTGTGGCTTCAAGCTTCATAACTCCTGAGAAACAACACAAAATAAGAAACGGAATTTGAAGAAAACGATACAAACAAATGGAATCCGAAAATCTTGGATAAGAAAATGCCACAAAAAATGACCAAAACTCAACCTGACTCAACATTGAGGAGGTCAAGGATGTCGTTTATATGCTGAAGGACTAAATCACCCGAAGATAACACAACACTCAAGAGTTGTTTTTGATCGCTATCGAGTTTCGTAGTTGATAGAATCTCAGCCATGCTAACAATCTCAGACAACGGAGATCTTATTTCTTGTGACATGGTTGCTAACAACTTTTCTGCTCTTTCCGTTTCCTCTACAAGAAAGTCGATCACATAAACCATTAATAACCGTTAAAAAGATAAGAAAGAAGAGAGTGGGATTCTTAAACCTCCGAGTATGTGGTCAATAGGTGCAACCGTGCAAGTAAAGAAAGTTGCTAAACCTGTTATATGAATAGTTTTGTCAAGTTCAGTCTCCGTGGTCTTTTGCACAGCTATTTCCTCTCGAAGCTTTGCCATCTTTTCCCTCTTTCTCACCTAAGAATGAGAGATTGCTTTGTGAATGTTTAACGACATTTTATGATTGCTAGAAACTAAGAATACAGACATAAAATCAAACCAAACAAACCCAGTATATCCCGCCTAGAGGTAGGGTCTGGGAGGGGTAGGATGTACGTAGATCTTACTTGTATCTCAAGAGACAGAGTGTCTATTGTAGAATATACATATATATATATATATATATACACATGAATGAACTAATAAGAAATATGGCAATGAGTGACTATTACTTGATCTGTAATGTCCATTCCCATATAATTCACACCAATTGTCTCCCCTGCTTTGCTGAAAACTGGTTCAACATAAATCAGGATCGTTTTGGCTCCAAATAATTCGGTCTCAAATGTAATCTCTTTCTTTCCTGGTAATCCTCGTTCAAGAACTTCCTTTTTGAAGTCCCGGGATTCCTTAACGCCGCCACCTTTGAATATTTCAAGATCCGTTTTTCCGATAATATCCTGAAACACGTTCAAGTATTGAGTTCATCAGCAACAATCTTCATGAAGGGCAAAAGTTAATGAAAAAATAGCATCTTAAACAAAAAAACTCGGAAAATATAATCAATTCATGATCATATTACCTCTTCTTGTAAACTAGGAAAATGATTATAAAGGAAGCGATATCACAACTCTTTGTCTTGATGGCCAATGACAACCGGTGCATTTTGAAGAACAAAATGCAAGAAGTTATCATCTCTTTTCAAGATCTGCGAAAGTTCTTCAACTGGTGATGACTGCTTCTCAAGCTTTTCAATGCTTTCCTCCAACTTTTTCAATAGTGTCTGCTCCCGTTGGACGCTCGCTTCCAACGATCTCTCTGAATGCAAGGCCCGTTGCTTCCAATACTCAACTATATCTGTATCATCTATTTCTGATTTTATATCATGAATGATAACATCATCTTG